TAAGAGACAGCACACACACACACACACACACACACACACACACACACACACACACACACACACACACACACACACAAAGACAAAGACTTCCAATTATGATATCTATGCATGCAGGTGGAAATGGGGTTGCTGTGGAGATTGTTTAACACACACACACACAAACATGCAACAACGAATGCAAGGACTGAAGTTGTTGGAGATGATGAAGAGCTATCTTTTGCAAAGGGCATCCATACATGAAGTGTTCATGTGAGAGAGGAGAAGAAAGAGAGAGCACATACAAGCAGTCATCGCAGAAGAGAACAGGAGCCTTTCATGTCAGATAACACACACCAAAACGAATTGCTCGCAAAACTCGAAGGGGATCATCCTGGAGTGTCGAAAATGGATCTAAAGGAGTCCGAATGATTCCACGCCGTAGGTCGTCCAGGCCTGGCAACAACAGACATCAAGTTTGCCAGGCAGCACAACAAAACAGAGCGCACGCTAAGGCTCATTACTGTGATGCATTTACCTTTGCAAGAAGGCTTTTTTGCCCAGTCTCCAACAGTTTCCTCTGTGTATGTTTTTACAGCATCAGGGGTCCGTTAAGCATGGTCCAATCAGGGAACAACGGCCATTCGGCATAGAGCATTCATGTCTTGTTTCTTTTTTTTTCCTTCCATGTGGCCCGATGGACCAGGCATCAGATATTAAACTGATCAGAACAGATACTACACTTGATCTATTTTTAGCCATTCGGCATGGAGCATTCATGTCACACAGTCCCAATATACAATACTGCATATCTGACAAAAAAGATGCAGCAGTGTCCCAAAGGTTAAGCGTAAGCATAGGTGCTCGCTCCATCAGGCCACAAGAATAAGGGACAAAAATTCAGCAGTTCGCGTTCCCGATGATGATTCTGAAATCTTCTGTGAGCTAAACGAGCACATCAGTAGATTCACTTGTTTCAAAACACAGTGATTTCACTGATTTCGTTCTCCTCATCGATTTATGCGTGCCATCCTAGCACAGAGGCCGTGCTAATCTTGTCTGTATCATTCCAATTTCAATTTTCAACGGATATCCCCAATGACATTTGGTTCTTTTTCTTTAAAAAAAATAGTAAAAAATAGAAATAAAAAATAAATCAGGAAGTCTGCTCTTTCATTCTATCTCAAGACTCAAGCACATTTTTCAAAGCTTGCTCTTGCAGTCAACTCTCATATTCAGATCTCAACTATCTGGACAGGCCCAAAGATCCAGTTTCTTTTTTTCCTTTTTTTTCTTTTTTTCTTTTTTCCAAAGCTCCAAACTATTTGTGGGGTGGCCCAAGGATCCGTTCTATAAATAGAAGCGCAAGGAGGGCTACGTGCAGGCCACATGGCACCGTGGGCCACGCCAGTCCTCTCCCCGCCTTCCCCTCTTCAAATCTCTCTAAGAATCTGAAGTTCTCTAACCCAATTTAACAAACACCACACTCGGGCCCATCAACCTCCCATCTCTTCCTTTCCCACAGCCCACAACCTCTAGTAGAGTCAAATCGGGGTCTGAATGCAGTTTTGGGCGTTTTCAGCCGTCCACATTCAACCCCTTATCTCAGCAGTGGAAGACCGGCCCTTAAGAACTGATGATGAGACCAAATCGTCGGAGATTGGGCCTAAACTGTCGATCGCCGACGTTTGTTGGCGCAAACTTGGCAGCTATGATGCAACGCTGGCAGCGTATGGGCTCTGCACACTATGTTCAGAGGGGTTAGATAAGAGGTTCAGCTCTCTTTCTATCAGTAGAGAACAACTTCCTGTTCGCCTTTTTTCACAGAGGATGAGCCATGACAGATCTGCAAAGAGGCACCCCATGCATCCTTCGGTCGCAATGCTCGAGTTCCAAGAGCTCGTTCCTCCAATACCTTGTTGTCACCCAAATGTCACCCAAATGTCACCCAAATGTCACCCAAATGTCACCCAAATGTTACTCACATGTTACCCAAATGTTATCCAAATTTTATGTAGAAGGGATAGGGGTGGTTTTGACAGTTCTGGAGTTCAAGACCTCTAAAAGTCAACGACCAAAATCAGACGTTGAATGAAAAAACTCAAACGCAAAATTATCAACGATGTCCCACAATGCCACCTTTTTTCTAAAATATCTGCCTCCAAGAGTCCAGAGAGTTGGGAGTTTCCTGTCACTAAGGATGAGGAATGTCGGAGGAGTGGATCAGACAACAAGTCGCAAGCGGACAAAATACTACCCAAATGTTATCCAATTCTTATCCAATTCTTATCCAAATGCTATCCAAATCTTATCCAAATCTTATCCAGATCTTATCCAAATCTTATCCAAATCTTATCCAGATGGTATCCACATGGTGTGGGGAGGATGAGGAATGTTGCAGGACTGGATCAGACAACAAGTCACACGCAGACAGATGCCAGCTCAGCGCGTGGAACACGAACTTCCTCCACACCGAGTCTTCAAACTCCCGAGAGCAGACTCGCTGAAAAAGAGAGGAAAAGCTCACCTCGGCCAGTGAAATCCTCCACACACCCGGTGTTGATGTTGTAGAACAGGCTGCAGTACATGATCACCACCACCCACCAAGGAAACAGATGAGCCTCCTTCTGAGGAGCAAGCAGTGTCTTTTAGTTTCGTCCACCAGTATATGGGTGTGAAAGTTAGTGAAACTGTAAATTGTAACAAAATGAAGACTACAAAAACGCAATGAAAGTCCTGAGAGGAAAGGTGGAAGCAGGGCAAGCTGACAGTCAATCCTCCACGGCGTTGGAGCAATCAATGCTGATCAGGGTTCCTTCGGCCAGACGGAAGGAAGCGTGAGGGTGTCCTATGATGTAGTTATTTTTGTTGACTTGGCGGTGGAATAGGAACCGGACTGATGCTCCCAAGAATGGAAATGGAGCCAGGGCCATAAGGACCTGTTTAAAAATAAAAATAGAAAAATTCTGCAATGAAGTTGAATGAACACATTCAGCAGAAGCTTAACCACTTCCAAAGCAATGTGTCTGTCATTCAAGCCTTGAATAAAACCAATGATCCATGGAAACAGCAAATGACAACGCACACGAAAGCAAAGAGAGCTGAATGAACTTGAACACAAAGAATAACTCCCAATAATCAACAAACAACAAAAGTCTCAATGCCTTCCAGTCTCTCTCAAGCCTTCACTTATTCCCTTTTGAGTCTTCTCCCTCAATCGCCGGCTCACATCAATCCTGGCTACGGCTGACTCTTTCCTCAAAAAGGAATCTTCTCTCCATCCTCCTCTCCAACCTGTGCTGATATACTCCCTCTTCTCGCCAAACCTCCCAGAGGCTCAGCACCAAAGGAATAAAGTCTTGACTGAAGAATGCCAGTCCCTTGTGGTCTTGGGTCTTCTTATTCTTCAGCGTGTGGCTATGGCCGCCAGGTAAGCTTCCTCCACCCTCAGGCCTCTTCTCTCTCACATAGGTATGTCTCGCAATCCTCCTCCCTATCCCCCCAGTTTCCCACCCTACCAGCTTAGGTGCTCGCCTCCTCCCACCACAACGCCTGCCCGCCAAGCACTATCTTTCCACTTTTTGGCGGCATCAGGGTAGAATGGCGCACTTCTCCCTGTAGGCCTCCCAGGCCGGACTTAGAACAATTCTCAGACTGAGGACATTTCTCAGACTGAGAACAATTCTTGGACTCTTACCCGGGCAATCCGAACCCACAGGTCCCGCTGCATTTGTGTGAGGCTTCCATAGAGTTAAGAAATGCAAAAGAGACACCCATCACCGATTCATCAATTGCAGGCACACACAACACAAACACCCCTAAATCACACAATACCCAAGCAGCAAAGATTTACTGCAAAATCAGAAGCTCAGAGGATGAGACGTTTGACGACAACCAGCAGCTTGGGTAGTGTGTGATTTAGGTGTGTTTGTGTTGTTGTGTGACCAGAAGCACGCGTGGGTCAATCTCAAAACTTTGATCATTTGATGACAATTTATGAACCAATTTAAAACCATTCATGACCGCAGCTTTGTCATGTACACAACTTTACAAGTTCTAACAGCATGCAAACACTCGGCAAAAGAAATGACGGACAGCTTTGTTGTACTAGCAGCAGCTTTATGTATGACAAAAGGGTACAGGTGGCACTTGTTTATCCTACGGATCTGTTTGTGAAGGAAGATCTTTTTTTCTGAAGGAAGGAAGGTTGTGACGTCGAGGAGCGAGAAGATAGTCCCTGGGAAGAAGCCTGCACATACAATAACATCAAAAGAATTGATAGCACTGGTCTATCCTACAAGACGCTAAGAAGAGACAACGAGGACGGAGCAAACAAACGAAGAACCAGGTGGGCTACCTGTTGATTGTCAAATCCCTCCTTAAAGCATCTTGCTCTGCTGTCCCAAATTCCTGCAAAACCATACATATATCACAAATACATATATGTAAATAGTAAATACTAAATACATCATTGCAAAGGAGTGCGCGGTGAGCCATCGGCAGAAAAAGAAAAACAAAAGGAGAAGAAACGGGGCCGTGACAGACTGTTTCCTGCGACTTCCACTGACTCATCAAGAGACTGAACCCTTGACAGTCTGCAGAATCCCCTAACCAATGCTGTAAGTGATGATCCGCCTTGGCCCCACCTGCAGGTGGGCACCAACCACTGCCCTGTAGAATATCTTTGACGAAAGCAAAGCAGACTACTGGGCTCTTGAGGCCGAGGTCACCAGTTCGAATCCGTGCTTGCGTGGAGGAGGGCCTGAGCCCAGATGTGCAGATCCATGAACTGCTATTCCCCACCCACACCCTATATGTAATATTTATGCACATATAAACACACAACAGCCCCCGGCCATTGGGAAAGGCTGGGGTGGGGTGAAATGTCCCTCATTGGGCTTCACTTTCATCCCAGCTCGCTCGCTTTTCCTATTGGTTAAGTGTTCTGCCTCTTTGGTGGAAGGTCGTAGGTTCGATTCCTAGTGGGTTGATGTTGGGACTTCTTGTGTACTTGCAAGGCTGGGGCAGGTCCGACCAGTCAAGCGCAAATTGCCCCCAGGCTGCAAGAGCGCTACATCAACAGTGCGCTGCAGGCGGCCCAGTACCTTGCGTCCAGCGAACGCCAACGAGAGCTGGGCTGAGGAAGAAGACCAGCGCCATAGCTGTAGGGCGCTGGTGGTGCTGGAAAGGGGATCCTTGAAAGAAGGGGATGGTCGTAGGCAGATGAAGATGGATGAGGGAGTAACCTTGTGGAAGCCAAGACGAGCTCCAGCATGACATGTTCTTCAAGCAGCGCATCGGCGGGAGCAGCACAAAACTCCGTGGCTATGGCGTGATCGAGGGTTTAGGGTAGATGGTTCAGGGTTTAGGGTAGATGTTGCATACTGTAACGTGCAGACCAGAACAAGAACCGACCTTTCAATACAAAGTATAAGATAGCACAACGGAAGACTTAGATACCAGTGATCC